TCGAGGAAAAATAAACAGCAACGCAATGGTCATTAGGAAATCCAATGACTAGAAGTACAATTAAAAAAATATTACAGCACTGAAAACTAAGTATTGAAAAACAGAAATTCCAAAAACACCGAAATGAACAGGTGTACTCCATAAGAGTCAACAAAACCTGTTCTATTAGTTGAGTAGTTGCACCTGTCGTAAAGAGTTGATATGTTATATATTGTAAACTATTGACTTGAACGAGAATATGGCTACAACAAATAAACATGTTCTTTGATGAACAGACATATCAGTTTGGAGGGGCACTTTCTGAGTGATCAAGGATTACAGCTACTTTATCATTGACATGTCAACACTAAGGTTATGAGTTTGAACCCCGCACCTAGTAGAAAAGTTTAAAAAAAATACCGAATTTCAAGGCCATTTCAAAAAGGGAAAATCCATCAAAAGTGAAAAAAATATTCCTGACTTGGTATGGTCATTTTCCGAAAACAAATGGCGGGTTCAACCTGGTTTAATAGCTAGCTAAACCTCCCACTTGTATGAAAGTTGTTTATAGGTCCGTTATATTGACAAAATTTGGCAAGCCACTCAAACAGACATAATAGGTTGATTTGACAATAATATAGGTGCGTTCGACTCTAATCTTTATGACTTGGATTGTCAGTTTTTTCTGCTGGTCTGATGTTTTCTCCGGGCACTCTTGCTCCCTCAACCAATAAAAAACGACCTCCACGATAAAGCCAATAGTGGTTAAAATGGCGTTAAACAGAAAACAAACAACCAATAAATCCTCAATAAAATAAAAATGTATATATGTATATATATATCTATGTGTGCTTATTGTTGACGCTTGACATCTGTACAAGTATTTTATGAAATAATAATTTTAGAAGCAACACATGTTTTCCAGCGTCAAGAAATGATTCAAAACGAACAACTATACTGACTGCAATTATTGTAACGACAGTTATCTTGACATTGCTACTTGTACCAGTGTTACTTAAATGTGTTTGTAAGTAGAAATATTGGGAACATATACCATGTATACTACGTCTAGTGATTAATTTGTTAATTTTATTATAATTATCAATTAGATTATGAATATATTTATGTGGAATCTATATAGTTGATTGCTTTGTATATTAATTATAGTCTTGTATTTTCTTTCAAAAACAGAACAAAAGATAAAGATTTCTCATATTTATTTTAATTCATATTACAAATGCCGCTTGTTTGTTAATTTTCGATCAAGTAGGATATTTCTATTGTAGTTATCGCGAAAGACAACATCAGGAACGAGTAAGCAGATTTCTATATATTTTCACCCGTTATTTAGAAATCAGCATTTTTATCAATTTAATGATTTATCTATATAATACTCCTAGTTAGTATTTATGTTTTTCACAGTCTTCAAATGTTTTAATACTTGAATCACAAATACTATCTTGGTGTTAATCATATTGTAACGTTACGATTTCATCTGAAAGATCATAAGGTTTATATGCGAAATATTGTCTTACCTGAATGAAACAATATACAAATTAAATTATCATTGTGTCTATGTTTAATTTAGATATATCTCATTACCAAATCGTGTAAACTAAACTGTATTTTAAATTGGATTAGCATATATAATACAATGAAGATTATGTATACAAAAATAAGTACTAAGTACATTACGAACGTAAGATAATTGTAATTAGATATTTTATGAATATCTAAATATTTTTTTTTTATTTTGTAGATCTGTCGAAGAGGAGACTGAAGTAATAGAAGATGTCTTATAATATACAGGATTGATACTTTAGTCTGAGTGAACATAATTCGTTTATTAGTTGTAGTAATTGACTTTGAACTCACTTTCAGTAACTCCTTAGTGCGTGAAATGTGTCATTTGTTTTTATGTTAGATGATTATTTGCTTCGTATCGATCTTATGTGTTTAGCCAATTGCAACTGATCTTTACAATTTGCTCTTATGTTGTGCTGTTACACCATTGTCCAAGGTTATGGCAGCGTTGATCTCTCAAAAACATGTTAACCTTGCAACCTTTTGTATATTCCTGTCCCAAGTCAATAGCCAGTAATTGAATTGGGTTGTCTTTGGTGCATGTCTGTAATATTTGTTTTTCGTGAATTGTTTTGTTATACATTAGGCCGTTAGTTTTTTCGTTTGAATTGTTTCATATTTGTCATTTCGGGATATATAACCAATAATCACAAGAACAAAATATCAACAAAAGTAAAGACAAAACACCCAAACAATTACAATAATAACAATTATACAACAAAAGCAAAAGCAAGTATAGTCTTTTACGTCAAACGGTTCGGACATGTAATTTTGTTCTCTAACGATTATCATCCGGATATGTTTGCTTTCCGTGTATGTAATTACAGAAAAAGTTAACGGACAGTAACTGTCGTTGTCATCTGTATGCAGTTGTTTCCCTACTGATAAGTTTCTAGAGCACTTTATAGTTTTCAGAGATAAATGTTTTCATTGTTGAAATCAAGATGATAAAGTTTGATTATTAACTTTTAGATGTTTTTGTTGTATGTTTGCTGCATAGTTTTGATCTCTAGTACAAAATGTATATCAAAATTGACCTCATGATTGATAAGTTCAAACAAAGTGATCACGAAAGAGACATTCTTATTATAATTTGAATCATTTCAGGGCAATCAGAATCAGTTGAAAATAGGTTATATCATTCTGTCCAGGACCGTGGAATGAGCGTTTCACAGACACACCAAGATGAATTGGTGGATGATAGCTCTTTGACAGATAGAAGCAATGTAGATTAGAAAATAAACTTTCAGCTGTGTACATTTTGTTTATATAGGAGAGTTAAAGAGATCATTCAAATAAAAAGTTCTTCATTGATACAATTTTATATGAGTTTGTAATTCTGGAAGTTTTCTGAGCTGCGCAATCAAAGCCTTGTTTAAAAGTTCTAATAAACTTACCAAGCTGAGGTTGATAACAATAATATAGTTAATTACTATTAATCATGATAATATTTGATTCATTTTTACTAAAAACTTTGTCACGTTCTGTAACAATTAAAATGTGTCTGCTTGGTGTGTAAATTTATGCATATTATTCCTAATTCGTTATAATCAGCAGCATCAATACACTATCGTGACTATGATGTACTGTTACATTTAAGTATTTCTTAGGATTTATTATTGTGATGGTGATTTTTACATTTTTCAGTCACTAATGCAAGGCTTTACAACAATCAGGAAATCACAGCTGCAATGGTAATGGTCTGCATGTAATAGCTTTTGTTAATCACTACAAACCAGTAAAAGTTTGCAGTATTTTATTCGACTGTACTGATTCTTACTCGATAATTCATAATACGTCTGAATTTTACTGGATATAACCTGACCCTAAGCTTAACTTTACGTGACTGTACTGATCATTACTCTACCCAAATTAAGACCATACTTAAAAGTTTGAATTAGATTTCCCTTAGTTTGAAAACGACCTGACCTATTCTAGACCAGTACTTATCAAGTCGCAAACAAACGGAAAAGGCCATGACAAAAAACGAAAGACCAACAATAGTACACAAAACACAACATAGAAAACTAATGACTAAGCAATTAACACAAATCTTATCACCGGGAGTGATTTCAGGTATAACAGAAGGGTAGGCAGAATCTGTTCCACATGTGACACCATCGTGATTCTAATGTTAGTATTAAATGGTAATTATAATTTGGTAGGTCACATTTGATGGATCAAGAACTGGATTGTGGTCAACTGTAAAAAGAGATATTTCATAACAAATGGACAGCCAACTCGTGATGGCGTCCGTAAAATTTTAACGTTCGAAAAAAAAAACAGAATTCACCATGTATATTATATCAATACAATTAACTGTGGGAAAGTAACTCAACAAACCAGAAGATACTTTATTATATTTTGACTTGGGGTCAAATGTCACAGATTTTGATTAAATTGTGGCTACCACTTTGGTTCGAAGAACTGTACCTAAAAATCGAAAATTATAGTGCATTTTTCTCTTTCATTTTCTGAAATATTACTAATCAGATAAATGCTCCATTGTTTTCGATATTCAGGTATAGTTGAAAGATCCGAAGTTGTATGCAAAATTGTTTCAAAATCTATGAATTCTTCAAAAAATTCTTTCAAAAGAGGTGAACATTAATTTGGTTAAATAGCACATAAAATCGGCGTAAAATGTTCTTAAATTTGTCTTAAATTTGTCTTAAAATCTCCAATTTCAAATCATAGATTTTTCTTCAAAATTCATAAATTGTTTATGCCTATTTTTTCATTTTAATGATACATGTATAAAAGAGGGACGAAAGATACCAGAGGGACAGTCAAACTCATAGATCGAAAACAAACTGACAACGTCATGGCCAAAAATAAAAAGACAAACAGACAAATAATAGTACAGATGACACAACATAGAAAACTAAAGACTAAGCAACACGAACCCCACCAAAAAATGGGGGTGATCTCAGGTGCTCCGGAAGGGTAAGCAGATCCTGCTCCACATGTGGCACCCGTCGAGTTGCTTATGTTATTATAAGATAATCACAGGATTGCTACTGTAAACATGACATGATATGTATGCAGTATGTCAAAAAGTTATAAATAGCACAATTGATCAATTTGTAGGATGAAATAAAAACAAAAAACCTTTTAACATGAATTTTGTCTTTAAGGAAAACCAACTTAACTATGCTGATGTAATTTTTTAACCGTCCTCATCAACACATGAAGTGCAAATATTCGGGTTAGAAGACAGAATACGCTATGCCGATGTTGACGTGTCAGCAAGAACAGTATTACAATCCAATAACAGCAGCATAGGGGATGACAGTAATATTTGCAGTGAAAGAAGTAGCAGTGAAGACGATTTTGTAGATGAAGGCCGTATAACTAACTACATCCAAAATCGAACAACAAATATCTAGGACTTATGCGTTGAACTAATTCATGGTTTGATGATGTGAATTCATTAGTTAAACCAACATTTTATTCGAGAATTAATTCGGGCAATAACAGAAAAAAGTAGGATAAAAAAAGATGCACATTTGTTTATATTATTCTGTCTTCAAGACGCTAAAGTCTGTAGTACCTCGTTGTCTTCTCTCAGCTGCTCCAGAATACCTCCGGGTCGATTTCTTGTAGCTGGAAATTGACAAAAAAATACAAGACCATGAGAACAAAATGTGTGCAATTGTACAGGAAATATCAAAACAAAGCTAGCGATTCAGCATGTATCATGTATATGTACTATGCTTCTGTCCATTTCAAGTTTTGAAACTGTTTTTAATAAAGATTACCTTGTTTTTACATCTAATTTTTGTCGTGAAAACTTTTAATATTGTATGAGACAAAATGACTCTTAAATTTTAGTATCTATTTTAAATATATATTTTCCAAAAAAGAACTTAATGATTAAATGATAAAGATTCTCTAATTTAACGTTTTTGCGAATAGCCATTTGTATACCTTATTTATTATCCGTATGCACAAATTAGTAAGAAAGTTATTTAAACTTTATTCGTGAAATAAACACATAATTGACATACCTATCCACACAAAGTATATGGCTACGAATATCATAGCCACTGCTACAACATTTAAAATCACATCTAAAGCCATCCAACTTATATCTTTAGCTGTAAGTATAAAGTAAACACATTGTTTTCTCAACATGTGATGTAGTCATTTGTCAATGTTGAGACTCTGTGGTCACTTTCCTGAGTCGTTAAGGCATGAAATCATTATTGTGTACATTGTACCTCGTATCTCATTCAATTCTCATTTAAAATGATGTTAGGGGCACATCAGAAAGACAACATATAAGCAATTTTCGTTCGTTACTTTCTATCAACTATTCAATCAACAGTCTCATAATATAATTAACATGAATATTGCTGAAAATGCTTACTATTACTATTACTAGTAAACAAGTACGTTTGAACCTACATGATATCAATTGTTTTCCTCGATAATGACACAGATGAACGACTTCAATTTAGAATCTATGACACACGTGTTGATTCCAACTTTCCTATTGTCAATTTTCCATTGCTCAGCAGGAGTATACCATACGATCAATTGTTTTGCTTTTACCAATAACAGGTATGACGTTATGCTCGTGCATGTTCACACTATTTATGCGCTCTTTACACACATACAGCTCAGAAAGTTATGAGGAAAAATGACCGAAATCGACACTACATAAGTTTTACGTTAACAATCATGAGATGAGTAATTGATACGGTATGTCTGTGTGTAAACGAAATAGCGACATATTTTCGAGGTCGTATATCTTTAGATATCAGTATAGTAGCCTGATCTGTGATTTTGCCCATTGTGTCTTTTTCCCGATCGAGACATTTTGAATGCAATCAAATTCGCATGGAGGATGATGCATACAAAACAGGATACGATTAACCTGTTGACTCACCCGGTCTCGATTATTTTTGAGTTCATTCGTATAACCTCTGATTTTGTATGTTACCTGGATTTGTCTCTTCCTAATCGATAAATAATGTTTGCACATTGGTTAACTACTGTCGCCCTAATTGGTTCCTCGGGTTTTGCATTCAAGAAGATTTAATTTATGAAAAAATTAGCACATTCCCCTTTGAAGCTGTTTATGATCCAATTTTTGATCAGTTTCCAGTGTATTGCTCTTGCTACCTCGCTGTAAAAAATGTTTTCAATCAATCTAACAAGGTAAAAATGTCTTTAGAATGTGTACGTTTGATGAATCGAATTACTGTTTGCGATTTGTAGTTAATGAAGTAAATATCAAATTAATATATATCAAAACCTTGAAACGTCTAAATTTGTTTTTGAAATGTGGAAACGGACTTAGTCTTATAAAAATAGGGTTGAAATCGTAGTTTAAAGGTTGACATTAAAATGATGTACATGGTAATTGTATGTTATTATAAGCCTTTACGGCTTATATCCTCTTAAAACAGTAATTGGATTTTCCCATAGTTTGACCGTCAACATGCCTGATAACCAAATTCGGTCATGTCAGCATCATCATCTTTTAATTGGACTTACCATCAGGCGAATGGCAAGCTTTGTAATTAACCACTGTAAATACTGTTTTTCCTACTGTACACACGACCGTTAGTGAATCTTTACATGTCGTACCCGAACTTGAGTATTTAAATTTCAGAGATAACTCGTAAAATAAATCATTTCTCTTTACATTAACAAATAAAAAAGATGATACGTTTTGCATCTGGAAAAGAGCAAATATTTGAATAATTTCATATACAATCTGGTAAATATAATTTACTGAATATATTTAGAATGAAGATGACCATGCTTTATGGAAGGAAAGTATAAACTGGGAAAAAGACTTTTAACCTATATAAACATTTGTAATACTGGCTATTTCTAATGAAAAGCTTTCGTGTTAAATATTGTTTGAATATGATTTGTCCCAAAGGAAAGCCTAAACATAAATTTATTCACATTATATTACATGGACACAGGGAGATTTACGACTCGACATATTATCCAAACAGTTGTCTATTTTGAAAGATCATACGTTGACCTACTTATGTCTTTTTATGTTGTTGGTTTGCGATCTTGATGACGTATACCCTACATATCATTTTATTAATATAACTATTCAATATTTCTGTTCACGAGCATCGTAAAATCAGTATTTATTTCAAACGTGACAGCTTGTTCTGTTCACAGTAATAAGAATCGACAAAAGATCGAATATCATACAATACATGTTTTTAACATAAAAAGGTAGTTTACTGATATTAAATCAAATATTACTACTAAGGAGATATCAAGTGGGCAATTCAAAATTATCAGTCGAAGAAAGACTAACAATACCATGGCAAAGGTACAAATAACAAACAAGACAAACATCTGTATGCAATTTGTCCCCGAGATTATCATCAACTAAGTAGTAAGTGCTTCGGTACTTACACGACTTTTTACAAACTTTTCTTCGATTTTCCGTTGATAACTTAGGAATTGATTAAGATATTAGGGTTCCAACTAATACAGGCAAAGTTGAACTTAGATGAATTTGACAACTAATATTTTTTTAGGTCACTTTGGGTCCTTTAGATCTTCATGTGTTTAAGTCTTATGTATACATGCTGAAGTTTTAAAATGTTTAGACGTGAACGTTCCTAGTGAATGCAAATCCAGAAAAGCTCTTCGGACGCAGGAAATTAATAAAGCGCTATTTCTCTTTAAGTCGAATCCAGAGCACAGATGATTAAATATATTCGGTGAAAAGTTTAAAGTTCGAACACACATTGGTATCGAAATACTAAAAGAAGTCAGCAATGCATTTTAAATATAAAGTAAGGAAGAAGTAAGTAATCAGAACATTGTGATATGCATCAAGTATTTTTTTTTACTATGGATGTATAAAAGTCAGTTATGTAAAAATATGCATTAAAAGTGTCATATTATATATAAATACAGTTTAATTTTGTTTTGTCTTTTTTAGCATTCTAACCTTTAAAGATTGTAGCGTACCTCTATGAATAGATACAAAACTTAAGAACTGTCATATTGAAACAATATAAACTATCTTTATACACATAGATAACAACCCGAGTATTTCTATTTATCAAAATTGCGTTGTTGATTAGCCAGATCTTTTAGTCGTATGGAGCACATTGTTGACTTATTTGTATTTCAATTTGACAAGTGAAAACTTACTCCTAATACCGCTTGACAGAAAGGTATTGGAAACACCTTTATGAACTGAATATCAAAGCTTAAATTGTATCCTCTCACTGTTGGTATTACCGGTAGTTTTTCTGTAGGATGAACTGGAAGTTTATAAAAAGGATCAATAAAAGAGAAAGAACAAGTCAATTAAACACCGCGAATGTAAAATATATGAAAACATAATAAAAACTAATATTCACCTAAATTAACAATAAAAATAATATGTATGCATTCTTTAACAACAGCATTAATTTCAAATTATGTGGAATTGATAAGGTATATATCTGGCATTTTAGCTTTTTTTGTACAACATTTAAGTACCAAACTGAAAGAATACATGGCTTGACATGAATGACATTTGGTATACCTTTAACACTTTTAATTTAGCTAGTGCTTTACATTAAATTAAATTCAGCATTCTTTGGTGTATTACAATCATCCTATGATAGAGCTTCGGTAAACTAAATTAATAATTTGTTAACTACATACATTCAAATATATCTTCCGACAGTTCAAGTACAGATCGATACTTTTGGAAACCGTACACACATTCATATGGTATACCTATGTCCTCTTCGCTAAAAGAAAGTATTGTCAAAACAGAAACTTTGTCTTTTTCTTTTAATTCTTCTATATATTTTGATGAATTGTACGACAAGCCATTTATTATTATAAGATTGTACTGGTTCCCAGCATTCCATTTTCTATAATCGTTGCAACATGCATCCATCGGCAAATGACAAATCAAATGAATATTAGTCCCAAATATTGCCGGATTTCCTTGTAAAGTCCATTTGATATTTCCTGCAAAAAAAAACCAACCAACATAAAAGTCTATAGGCCATCTGATTTGAAGATACAGTCATCAAAAGTAGGTAAGTACATTCACAGTATGTTTATCTATAACATATTTCTGTAGATAGAATGATTTTATTTATACTTAACTCCTGCCATTAAAAAAAGATTTGGTATGATTGCCATTAAGAAAAATATCCACCAGAGAGTAAATGGTGTGGATGTAAGCACCAATAAGTCACAGGATGGCTTCAGCAATGAGAAAACCCATACGTGTAGTAACAGGCCTCCAACTGACAAGGAGAAAACCAATAACCTGGTTTGCGTACATAACAATCAAATAAAAATATAATAGACAGCGACCAACGACATCCACTTAATTAGTGGCTCCCCACTGAGGACTGGTTCATACACCGATATTTACTTATCATATAATTGCTAAAAAAGTATCAGGATGTCATTGCAAATGAAATCCCAGTGATAAGCCGCATTTGTTTACAAGTTTGAAATAGAAAGAAGGTTTGGGCTGCAACTACGACAAATGTGACACTGTACGAAGGGCGAAAAACAGCCATGAGTCAAAATAATATCTTGTCCAACAGAAAGATAACAAAGTGCTGAAAAAAACCTCAGAAGATATTTAACTCTACCGCTAGATATCATCGATACAGAAACTGAAGAAAGAGCGAAAAGACACCCACAGGGCAATACAGTATATTATCAAATACGATGGAAAAGTTCTGAAAAAACTCCAGAAGATTTTCAACTTTTAGTCTTTACCGCTAGATATCGTTGATGCAGAAGCGTAACCCTTGTAAGCAACAACCTTGTATCAAAGAAATTGTGATAGAACACAAATGACGACAGATATGTTCCAAATGTCGGTACCATTATTTTGTCCACTATTGCATGAATGTGACCTCCCGAATAGACTTATCATCAAGTTCGTCCTTACATGAACAACACGACGGGTGCCACATGTGGAGCATTATTTGCTACCTTTCCGCAGCATTTGAGATCACCCCGGGTTTTGAAGAGGTTGGTGTTCCTCCGTCTTTAGTTTTCTATGTTGTAAGTTAAAATTTAGTTGTCAACCGACTCCCAGTGATGATGATTTGAATAGGAAACAAAGTGACTTATACAACAGTACAATACAATAATTGACGGTAATTAGCTCACCAACTTAAACTTTATGTTAATAATTTCTTTGAAATGTTATATCAAAACAAATAAGGTTCATGTAACTATCTACATGATTTAGTTAATTGAAGACCCATTCCCCAAAAATGTAGTTGTGATATACACTTTTTTTACACTAAAGTAAAATTTAACTACAATGACTAAATATTGATTATAAAATCAATTGTAGGTACATAACATGTTTGTTGAATGCTTATTATTAAAGAGCGTAGTACAAACTTATTTTAAAATATCTATGGTTTGTTTTCTCTTTTTGCTGATTTTAGGTTTAGAACAAGCGAAATTTCGCCCAGTCCTCGTTAGGTTGAATAGACAGATTAGGGTATGAAGTCCATAAAACAGCAACAAAACAATACAATCGAATAGAAAAAAAAAATGTCTAGAGGTAGAAATTGTGTTAATAATGGATACAAGAGCTGCATGGCTTATTAAATAAGCTACTTCCATTTTAAATGGGGTAGGGATCTTAACATTTGCTTGAAAGTTCACTATTTTCATTAAGTTGATCTAGGTTAGAAAGATGGAACATGCCAAACGGTAATCACACGACAAAATTTGAAGACATACAGACAACACCATGGCTAAATGATAAGAAAAACATAAGAAACTAAAATGGGCAAAAAACTTAACAGAGCACTATCGATTGATCAACCTCGTGAAAGCAGAAAGTAACTGTGCCCAGGAATGATAAAACTTATGTACCTTACTTTAAAATAGAGTGGAACTCTTATTAACGTTTGGTACGATAATGTATTCCTTGCTCATAGCAATCCTGCTTCAAAAGACTCTGAAAGCAAGCAGAAATTGTGTACTATAGTATCACCTTTGAGTTGTGTTAATTTTAAGTGCTTATAAGTTGGGTATGTTACTGCAAAATACTAACAATATAATTGTATATACAACTGCATGGCAGGTAATAGTATTTTTTCACTACGTTAATTCTCCTTCACATGTGCAACTTAATAGCAACATTATTGTGCCATGATATTGTTCATTCAACAAATAATACTAATTTCAGTAACAATAACGATATATGATCATTTGTATCTCACTGCCATTAGTAGATCAAATGCATCCTACTGCCTTTAGAAAAAGAAAAAAAACATTGATTTTTTTTTTTTCAATTTGTATTTACAATGTCAGTGATGAGACGTAAAGTTACTATATGTATACTTATTGTAATTTCAAAGTGTCTCAAAATAAAACATTCCCTCCGACATGTGTTTTCCTTTGCAACTGGGAATCGGTGTACTATATGTTTAAGGTGTCATTTAGCAAGTTCCAGTGGACTTACTAGTTGTTTTTTTAACAAGGCATTATAATTTAGTGTGTGTATTGTAAAGAAAGAAAATGCTTTACCAAAGAAACATTTTTGCCTTGTATCTTTTATTTAAATCTTCTGCAAATTTATTACTTAGAACTGTCATTTACAAAAGGCATTGTTTATTTCGTCAAATCACTCAACACACTAGCCTATGTAGAGGTATGTTATAAGCGTAATGTATAAACTTAGGTTTTCCTGTTCCTGTATATTACTATACAAACCTGCTATCAACCAAGGCAACAACCATATCGTTAAGATAAGCATCATTGCGTTGAACATCAAAATAAAGTTCTATTTACGTTCAAGGTCCATAAAAATAGCATCAACTATAAAAGACATTGCAAAGGAAATTTAAAATAAATAGATCGTAAAAGCTTATATAATACAGTCCATATACAACATTGCACAATGCATCGTACATTGTTACACCATACACCAATATACACCAAACATAATTTCCCTGTCCCCATTTCCATTTTAATCTTCGCATTATTCAAAGATTACACACATATCATACAAACTTCATATTGTAAAATGTTTGAGGGAATTACCAGTTTAATACATCTTTTATAGAATGAACTTAGATATGAAAACTTACAACATTCCTTATAAACCATACACTATTCATCATGCATTATACCCCACTCATCATTGCACCATACACTATTACTCCATAACCTTTTTTGGGGAATTATACACTTTTCAATGGCTGTAGTCACATATTTCTACTTCTACTAAACTTTCGTATTATTCACTGTTTTATATTATTTCGTTCACAAAGAACACCTAGGTATTATTTTTACTTTCAGGATTAAATTAGAATTACCGCCAAGTGTATCCTTAAAAATACTAACCAGGCAATTTATTAAAGCAAGTGACCTATTACAATATACAATGTTTGTTTCTATTCTTCATATTCGGTCGTCCATTGGTATTGATAATATCCTGCCTTTCATGTTGCCCATTTAGAGACAATGTGAAGACTATATTAAGGTGTTGTTGAAAAGTATTTGTGTAACTACCAAGTGACCCATTTTACATGTTAATTCACGTGAATTAATTTATATGGTTCAGTTTTATTAAAACTTGGTCAATACAAAAACATCAATGGAATGAGTCTTTTTCTTTAGAGTAAAATGTGATGCTATTTGGATTGGATTGTGATTCTTCAGGTTTTATCAATTGCATCAAATTCTAAACTAGACATGCAAGAAATAGATTTTATGCATCTTTCGTCAAAACCTGATTCACGTTTTGCCAAGACCAGAAGAAATCATCTTAATATGTTTCCGTTAGATTCAAAGATAACTGCTATTGGTTTGTTTTTATACAAATATTTGCGGTTATTATAACATTTAAAAACTTTATATTAGATTTGCCAAAAAATCTTACATCTTATTCAATATATGTGAGCAAGTCGTTTATACCATATCAATATAAATTCAAAAAAAAAAAAGGATACAGTGAAAGTTTTGGTTAACTCAAAAGTATCATACCCATATATTCAGCTGAATTATGTCAACAATTCCGAGTATATTCTACATGATTAAGGAGCTGTTTAAACTATTGGACGTTTAATCGGTCTCGAATTTTATTTATATATGCTTCAACGTGTCAAAATAAGATATGCATAACAATGTGATCTTTTATCAAATACCTTTATTAATTGGAAAATCATCACCCATATATGATGTTTTAGCAAGCAACAATGGCCAAGTTTAAAATTTATAAATATAAAGGTAGTCTATCAATGGATGAATACATATGCAAATATATATGTAAAGTAACCTTATACCAATGTTTTATATATAACAGAATAACGACAAACGTCAGTATACACATAATTTGTGTAATGTCCTTAAACAAAGATAGTTTAGCCATAGCATCCTCGAGAGTATGTAAAGAAATAAATTGATTACACGAGAAAGAGTCACAAGTAATAAAACGTTCAAATGAATTGAGCATAAATATTCAAACTAAAAGCAGTGATAGTGTTTGGTTTTTGGTTCTGATTGCCAAGATCGAACACAAAACATATTAGACTAAGAGCGGCTGTAAAATAAAAATAGAATTGTTTTGTTTTTTTGTTTCTGTTTTTTTTTTTTTTCTTGAGTGCTATTTCAAGCTAGGTAACAATGGGTGACATTTGGTTATACCCAATTTGACAGCAGTTATATGTTCTACGTTACAGTTGAATTTAACAATTGAACAATTTGCTATAAAGTGAAAGTTAGATATACATAACAATAAAAGCAGTATCACAGTAGGTATACTGTCCTGCTAGAATCGTGCTTTTTCGAGTGATTTGATCGGGTTTTTTGTAGTGTGAATACGTTTATTCGACTGAATATGATCAAAAATGTAAACAAACATACTTCTTCTTTTGTAAGACGTGAAATAAATGCTGAAACTTAATATGCAAGATCAGACAAGGTACGTTTGTATTGTCGACGAAAAGAAATCATCACCCCTACATTATTTTGTGTTCTTAAAGTTTAATTTAGCTTTACACTGCTTTTATTCCAAAACATAGAAAAAAGTTATTTATTATACAAGTCCCAATGCAAATGTCAAAGGAAATGTATATTTGGTATCTATATATCCTCAGATATACAGACACTTTATAAAGTATCTTATTGCATTGAGAAGGACATTTTTGGAATAAATTCATTTTTATATGTCTGTGTTTTCGAGAGCAGTCCGGGTTTTTGAGTGATTAAAGAAAACTTCAATGGCTTTAAATGTTAAAGCATCGTATTTTTGTATATATTATTGTTTGCTACATCTTATAAATTGTATGGACACCGGCATTGGTATTTAGATAGACCAAACATGTCCACTCCCATGTAAAATGGTGGGACTATCGAACAAGTCAACGCCCAGGTACACATGTTGTATCGATTCAAACATACGTATATCGATATCGATTCAACCAAATATAGATATCATACCGTAAATATTCGTATTGTAATTATAATTATGTGAGCACTGACATATATATATATAAAGAAAAGGAAATGTGGTATGAATTCCAATGAGACAACTATCTCCAACAGTTCAAATGACGAAGATTAAAGTATATCACCATACAGCCTTCAATAATGAGAAAACCCTATACCTTATAGTCAACTCTAACAGACCCCAACATGAAAAAATTGAAACAATTAAAAAGAGAAAACTAATGACCTAAGTTATATAATACAAAGAACAAAAAAAAAAACAAATATAACGGACTTGAACCAACTACAACCATTGAATTACAGGCCCTTGATTTAAAACAGGCATATAAAGATTGTGGCGGGGTTAAACATGTGTGTAAGCCCTCAACCCTCCCTTAACTTTGGACAGTGGTGTTACAGCACAAAATAAGAAAACTGTAAAAAATCAGTTACAAATGGTATTACTCAATAGATCGGTACGGAGCACAGACAAACCAACTGACATAAAAACAGTAGATTTATTGTATCGATATAAGAGTACTCGTTATTACTAGTTCAAAGCCAGTTACAACTGATAAATAAATCATACTTTTCAGACTAAAGTATCAAGCAGTACAATGTTGGATTGAGACGTACGTACATTGTGTGAGTAAAGCAGGTATGTGTATTTTTTAAACAGACAATACATCCTAGATGTTTCATTTACTATTTGTCTTGATGATAATTTGTTTTATCGTTCTATGAATGGAAAACAAGAACAATTTTCAAATGCTATTTCTGTGATAAGTAGTATTATCAAGCGTATGTTATACTTGGTCATATAGCAATAACACACCATGATAGCTACCTTTCCATCAGTTAGCAGTGCTTAACGGATTTCTATCTAGACATTACAATTACCAATGTATATCTACGGAACTCTGCGAAAGACATGAATTAAATACTCGAGGTGTACGCTATTGTATACACATTTTTCTTATTATTATTTCAAAAAGATCATATTAAAGCTTATAGATTTGTTTTCATTGTTTATTATATATTCCATGCAATTCCAAAATTTTTGTCAATAGGAGTTGGTACAGTGGTGGATTAAGTGTATTTTACTTTTAATTTTTGTTAGGGGTGGGGTCTAAGGCCTCTCTTAAAAGAGTATTTGTGGTATATTGCATTTAACTGAATTTATAACTTTTGTCACTATTTTTTTCTTAACTATATTTTTAAAACTCTAGGTTTCGACACCGTAATGTCTATAAATCATAGACTATCATTTACTGTAAAAATATTGAAGCATTAAAGGATATTCAAAAAGATTATGAGTCCCGTGTTCACGGTTCTAAAGACAGTTTTACAAAGAATCCGGTAATTTCTAATATATATTGATACTGCAAGGTTATGACAAAATGATTTCTGATCAGAAAAATTATCATTAAATTGAAAAGGGTTAAAATTGATCAATACATTAATATGTTTTGTTACTTATTAGGAATACACAATATTGACCTTCGCTAAATTACAGTTACAAACTAGAAAAGTTAGTTTTCATGCCCAAGAATTCCTTTATTTCTTATTCGCATTTTCTTTGAAAAACCAGGACCATTTGTTTAAACATCCGGCCGTTTTAAATATTGCTCTCAAAAAAACACGACAATGTAAATCACTGAATTGCCAGTTAATTACAAGGAAATCGTGCTTCGTTTGTTCTCAAACCATGTTTAGTATTCAGAATAAGATTAACAGTCATGAATATAAATAATATATACGGGAAATAGCAGTTAATTGTTCTGATCGCATGTAATATCACTCGAAAAACCTTATCTTTATTCGGAAAAGTGGACCGATTCACACGAAAAAACACGATCTCCGACGGACACTTTAACTACCGTGATAATGAGATTTGTATGGGCGATTGACAAATTTAACCATAATTTTAAGTTTAAATGACATTGTTTTTCTGGTAAACGACCAAAAACCCAATCTATAAATATGTTTTACTGTGAATTACAAATGTTTCAATTTCTTAGTATGACTGATAATTCCGATAATAGCGTTATATATGGATTTTTATTTACAATGTATATCATTATTTATGTAACTCATTAGATTATGAAACAACTATTCTTATCTGATTTTGTCTGAATTTTGTCTTTCTAATCAAGACCGCTTCGATGGCCCCGTAGTAGCATGTTCGCCTCGAGTGTTGGAAGTCGTGGGTTCGAACTCCGGCCACGGACATTAAAATTTGTACCTATATTGGTTCACTTTTATAAATCTTGACTTGGATGGAGAGTTGTCTCATTGGCACTCATACCACATCTTCTTATATCTATTTGTTGGTTCCTTGCTAAGCACGTGGCATTAAGGAATGAGCGCAAAGGTTTGCTGTCTTGGAGCCAAAACAATATGTCCGGATAGGATGACATATCTTTCTGCAGACTATAACTTTCTAATAGTACGTTTAAAGTACAAAGTAGGGTTAAAAAATTGAAAACAACACCTTTAATAATTTCATGCGTCCGAAGCGCTTTTCTGGATTTACCTTTATCAGGAACGCTCAATGCCAAACATTTGAAATCCGAGGGATGTATAAGTATCGAAACAGTTGAAGAGCTATATAACAAAAAATACCTTAAACAAATAGCCAAATTCATCTAAGGTCAACTTTGCCTGAGGGAGTTAAAACCTTAGTTTCTTTATAATTTCAAAATTTAACAACGGACAATTTAAGAAAAGTTTGTTATAAATCATGTCAGTACCGAAGTACTGACTACTGAGCTGATGATATCCTCGGGGACTGATAGTCCACCAGCAGAGGTATCGACCCAGTGATGTAAAAAATTGAAAACAACACCTTTAATAATTTCATGCGTCCGAAGCGCTTTTCTGGGTTCGTATCGTACAAAATTAACAAGTTCTCGTCCTAAACATGCAATAAATTTGCTGTTGGACGTTAACAGTCATCCATAGGAAAGAGATTATGTTTATTTATTCATGCATCAAGTTAAGCAAGTTTGGAAAAGCATTATGTAATATAAGGTATGAAGTTAACACTTTAAAAGAAAGAAGTTTTACAATTTTCCTGCTTATTTCTATGTTTACATAATTATGTATGTTTTAATCACTTGAAACAAAATTAAACAAAAAGATAATTTTAAAGAATTAAAGTAAAAACAAGGTTTAAGAATTTTCCATATTTGGAATGACCATTGTAAATAAGGGTTTCGCTAATTGGCCTTGACTTATTTAACTCAACTCTTGAAAATCGTCAGCAAAGAAAACCATACATGTTTAACAACAGAAAACATGCATACGTTTCAAACTATGCGTATCCAAACGGTTTCAAAGTTCAGACTGTTTAGATATGTCCATACAATGACAGACAAAGTAAGTATTGTTAAGACATTTAATTATATAAATGTGGATTAACCAAAAGGATCAACATACAGTGAGCCTAAATCCATAACGTTGAAACGGAACTTTAATATTGTAATGGATTCAGTCGAGGAATATAACACGCAATGAGCTAAGTGCGAAAAAGAAGACGTTGATTATCTTTCAGGATGGGTTAAGGTAGTTCGGGGGTTTAAATTTTCGCGCCGTCTGCGCATGAAGTTGCGCAATGATATCGTAAGTCATGCCTATTGTCGTAATTTGCCATAACAATAACATTT